AAATAAATAAATAAATAAATAAATAAATAAATAAATAAATAAATAAACAAACATTAAAAAAAATCATGAGAGAATAGAGCTCACTAATGATACTGATAGGATAAAATCCCAGGCAAACAGGATCTCAGAGGAGGACACATCTAGTTTTGATGACTGAAGCCTTGAATCCTAGCCTACCAGAGAAGCTGGGTCCCTTTGCCTGCTTGCTCACTGGGCTGGCATCCCATGGAAATAGAATCCAAACAGAAGCTCAGGGGCCCTCACCAATGCAGCTCTTTCTGTAGTTCACTGTGGTCCTGGCCCCCAGGGTGGGAGCTGCCTCACTGGCTTTATCTTCATTTGGGGGCTGCAGTCTAGTTCAGAGTTTCTCCACCTTAGCACCATTGATGATTGGGGCTGAATAATTCCTTGCTGGGGGCCTGTCCTGTGTGTGCTAGGATGTTTAGTAGCATCCTTGGCCTCTATTGGTGAGATGCCAATAGCACCTCCCCACTCTACTTGTGATAGATAACATCTCCAGATGTTGCCAAATGCCTCCCATGGGGTAAAATCACCCCATTTGGAACCACTGGTCTATGGTTCCGTGTATTGCTTTAAGAGCCTGGCTTTGAAAGCCTGTAATTTTGTTTTCTGTGTCTTCTCTGACAGGAAGCTGCATCACTGTGTCTGGGAAAGGCGCTAAGCTGGTGTGAGAAGGCAGACCTGGGTTTTGGCTGCTCAACAGCGTTACAATCCCAGCCACACTCTCTCCTTCCCTGGGTCCTGTTCCTCATCAGAGGGCTATGGAAAAGATCACACACAAACAGAGTGCTTGGGTGGCTCAGTCGCTTAAGTGTCTGACTCTTGATCTTAGCTCAGGTCATGATCTCGCAGTTTTGTGGTTTCGAGCCCCTCTTGGGATTCTGTCTCTCCCTTTCTCTCTGCCCCTCACCTGCTTGTGCTCTCTCTCTCTCTCTCCCTCTCAAAATAAATAAATAAACAAACAAACCAAAGTGGATCTTTACATTTCTTTCCAGCTCTGTCTTTTCCTGCTTTACCTAGCAGCCACTTGGATTGGAGTGTTTTAATAATTGATACAGTTACTGAAAAGAATTTTATATTTCCCATTTAATTAAGAAAAAGTTCATCAAATTGCTTTACGGTTATGAATTTATTGATTCTCCACTCCACCTCAATAAGTTTCCTTGTACCAACCTCCCAGGGGACAAACTAAAAGTAAGGCATGACATTGTTTTCATTCCTAAGTTACATAACCAATTTCAGTGTGGAATATGATTTAAACAGGCAGGAAGAAACACTGCTTTTTATGAGAGGAATTTAAAAGTGGAGATGATGGATTTAACACTTCAACTCTCACAGACAAAAAGTGTCTGTAGGAATTTTAAAATGTAGGTGTTATTTTTTATATAGATATTATTTTTTAAATAATAATATATTAAAAATATAATGCTAATATTAAATTAACTTAAATGAACTATTTCCAGTTTGGAGTGTGTGATTGCAAACAAATCTGCTAATTCAAAGAGATTTCCTTCCTTCCTCCACAGCCCCCTCCTTTCTTCTTCTCTGATAATCATTGATTGCGTTCCCCATAATGAAGCACCCCACAGGACAGCAGCATTGCCTATAGGTTACAATGTGAATGGAGAACACTGGAGTTGTGCAAACAGGAGCCCTGCTGGGCACTGGGGATACAAAATCAGCTAGGACTGGTGCCTTGCCCTTTACAAGCCAACAGTGAAATCAGAGGAACCTGTAAAGAGGCAGAATAGAGCAGAAGGTAGACAGAAGGAGGGACAAGAGACAAAGCACTTAGGCTTCTAAGTGAGGCTCTGGGAAGCCTTGAGTCTTTAACTCCTCTCTTTCTCTCATTCCATTTCTAGTCTAGCCACCTCTTCTCACCCCTGCACTGCTCCTGCCAGACCCATCTCTTCTGATTAATGTAATCAACTCCTATTTCTTGCTTCCATTTTGACTCCCTTTCCCCCACCCTCACCTTCTTCTCCATAATCTCTTCTCTAGAGGGCACCAGAATAGAAAGAATAGAATAGAATAGAGTAGAATAGAATAGAATAGAATAGAATAGAACAGCTCCCCACCACTTCACACTTCACTCAGTTTGAAAAACCAAAGTCCTTATGATAGCTACAAGGTCCTATAGAATCTGACTTCCCACCCCTACTCTTTTATCTCAGACCACATCTGCTATTTTCCCTCATTTACTCTTCTCCCTCCACACCTTTCTAGTTCCTCAAACACACCAGGCACTTGGCATATTCCTGCCTCGGGACTTTTGCACTAGCCAGTTCCTTCTCCCAAGGATGCTCTTCCCCCATACCGCCATGGGGTAACTCCTTTCCTTCCATCAGGTCTTGGTAAAAGGTCCCCTGCTTAATTCAGCCACCCTGACTACCCTATTTAATACCGCAACCTGCCACTCACATACTGACTCACTCCCCTTTCCCTAGGCCCTTCTCTTCATTTGATTCCTTACCACCTTCAAACACACTAAATAATTTACTTATAATGTCTGTTCTCTTTTGTTCATTTCTTGCCACAAGAATATAAGCTCCATGAAGGCAGAGTTCTTTTTTTTCTTCTCTCATATTTTGCAAGCACTGAGAACAATGCCTGGAACATAACAGGTGCACCAAAACCACTAGAAGAAAAGAAAAAGAAAGAGAAAGAGAAAGCAAGAAAAGAAAGGAAGGAGGAAAGAAAGAAAAAGAAGGAGTAAAGAAAGAAAGAGGGAGGAAAGAAGGAGGGAAGGAAGAGAGGAAGGGAGGAAGGAAAAAAGGTAGGTTGAAGCCTCCTCTGGTCACCCACTATACTTTCATACCTCTACTATAGCACTTAATCTTTAGATCTGTCTCTCCCAAAAACTGTGAAGCATCACCTTGGGCAAGCTGCTTAGCATCTCTGAGTCTGTTTCATTACTGTTAACAGAGATTGATGAGTTACTATATTTACCTAATACGGTCATTGTGTGGATCAAATGAGTTCTTACCTGAAAGGACTAGCACAGTGCCTGGCCCATGGAAAGTCCTTAGTAAATGTTAGCTGTTGTTATTGTTATTAAAACTGTGGCCCAGGGCCAAAGGGCATAGTGGGTGCTGAGTGAATGAAAGAGCTCCTGGCTGCTTGACTCAAAAGTGATGGCTCTGAGGCAGGAGCTGGGAACTGGGAGCCTGGGCTAGGTGAAGCTGGAAAGGAATGTTGGTGGGGGGGCTCTGTGGTGCCCCCCTGAGGAGGAATGTGGACTTGATCCATGGGCCATGGGTGAGTTCTGTGTTTTGGGAAGTGTATGGAGAAAGGATTATCAGCAAAATGGGAAGGGAAGGACAGTGGGGGTGGGGAGATCAGGGGTGGGGGTTAGGAGGATGTTGACTCATCTAGAAAGGAATAATGAGCCCTTGGGTAAGACAACTGTCCTCACAACAGATGGTGGAGACATTTTGGAGAGAATCAACTCCTTCAAAGCAAGCTCAGGAAGGCAATCTGCTTTTTGTGTGCTCTATAGGGTAGCAAAAATAAGATTAACATGAGTTATATTGATTCTTACCTACCATTAATTTCTAAATAGACTTTACTTTTTATTAACAGGCTCTTTGGTCTATTATTCAATAGAGAAGCAGACTGTTTTTCTCGTGGGGAATGTTTAGACTAGAAAAAAAAAAAAAGGAAATTCTTTCCCTGCTAGGTAATAAAAAGATGAAGCAAGCATGGCCAAAATACAATGTGAAGGAAAGCTCTGGAACCCGCTGTCGTAAAACAGTTCTCGTCAAACCTCAGTGGGTACTGTAGAAGTTCCTCTCGAAGGTTAAAACAGAAAATACACACATTCTGATTAAAGCTCATCTGAGTTCTGATAGCCGCTGACAATGGTTTGAAAACTTTGGCATTTTAAGATCTCCATAAAGTGATTTTCTAAGCAACAAAAGGGCAATGCTTTGATAAGGCTGCAGGGTAAGATGAATCCCCACAGCCTGGAGTTAAGATGCCAGAGATGAAGGCTCCTTTTCCACACACATTGGCTACCAATTGACAGCTCCTGCCCCTGAAACTTAACTGCCTTTTCTCTTGGACCAGGAAGTTTCACAGTGTGTTGTCAGTCTTTGATGCTCAGGTGGTGTGAAAAATTTTAAAAACCAACACCCACCACCCCCACCACCACCACAAACTCTAACACCTCCTGGTCCTGGTGACAGCCCGTTCTCCTGCTTTGGTTTCCTGCTCAGCTTCCCTTCCTTACTAGCATCCTCTAGCATTGCAAAATCAGGCCACCGTTATTGTTAAAGTATTTCTCATCTCTCTTAGGAGCCACATCTCTTGGGAACAATATTTCCCAGAATTTTGAACCGTGCCGTGATGAAGACACTGAGACATGTCTACAGGGCCCTTTGACATGCATGGGAGTTGTTTAAATGCTGGTTGAGAGCCATGACTTGTTCTGTTCTCTGGTGATTGCCACCTCCAAGACAAAATGGCTATTTTCTTGCCAATTCTTTTTTAATGGCCAAAATTGGGTCCAGAGGAGCAGTTTCCTTTAGTCTCTGAGATAAAATGGTCAGCAAAGCAAGGCTTAAGTGCCGGGCACAGTGCTTCCGGCCCAGTGAGACTCTTTTTGGGAGGAGGGATGCTGCAGGCAGGCAGGAGAGGAACCACCTGGAGCGGGGGCATCAGAGAGCTCAGGTACCTGCAGGGTGTGCAAGTCCAGCCACAAGCTTTCCTACTGGGCACTTAGAAACACTTTCATTCTCTGAAACTTTGCTTCCTTTGTGAATGTTTCTCTGGTCATTTCATCCAGTGGTTCTCAAAGTATAGTTCTGAGACCAGTAGCACACGCACCATCTGGGAACAAGTTATAAATGCATGTTGGCCCCACCACACACCCCCTGAATGAGAAACTTGGGGCTGGGTCCAGGAATCTGTTTTAACAAGCCTTCTGGGTAATTCTAGTGCAGGCGGTCAGGTGCGAAACTACCAATTTGAACCACTGTTTCTATTGGTGTGGATCATCAAACCGCTTTACTTCTAATTTAGAAAGTCTTTCCTTTGTAATTCTGCACACCTGAAGTTGCCTCCTTGTAAGGCTGCTGACAGCAACAACCTCCGTGACAGGAAGGGAAGAAGCACGGTGTTGGGAAACGCCTGGGGAGGCAATCTCAGACCTGCTGGTGCCTGCTTTCCATCTTCACACCTTTAAAAAGGGAGAGAACTCACAAGTAGGAGGAAAAAAAAACCCATTAAAGAGAAAAACAACTGCTGTTTTGAATCAGTAGCACAGCAAATTGAAGAGATAGCCATAAAACATTTTTACTTCTGACAAGAGAATCCCTTTAGGGCAGGTAATGGTCTGTTAAATATCAAAGGAGCAGACCAAGGACCTGAGGATATTAATAAGGAGAAGAGGTGAGGTGGGAAGAGGGGAAGGATTTGAGCTCTGCCTTCAACTAACTGGCTGCAGCCCAAAGGGAAGAAGACCGGGAAAAGGACCAATGCAGAGAACCATGGAGACTTTGGGGACTCCTTACAATCATTACAGCTGCCCAATAATAGAAAGGCATCTTAGGGGCAATAAGGAGCCTCCTGGCTCATAGAGCATGTAAGTCTGGATGGCCACGTGACAAAGATGCCATAGTTAAGGGAATTCTTGTATCAGGCAAGAAGCCGCCATAGGGCTAGGGTTTTGCAGACTTACTACTATTATTTTTTAATCAGAACTCCTTCAACCTAGAAAGTACACCATGGTACCTAAATTTATAAAACAGTTTGAAGAGAGGCCTCTTTAGTGATCCCTGGGGCACTGTCTGATTCTGTGGTGCTTTGATAACTTTTCGAACCAGAACTTCTCTTTCCTCTCTAGGCTTCTCCTGAGCTCCCCAAGAGCTTCCTTCAACGTGGTATCACCAAGATGGTGATGTTTAAAGGGGGTGGGACAAATCCAAGAGTGTGTGCTTCTGCAGCCACATGGCTCACATTTCCTCCTCAGGGATGGCACGCAGTGAAGGCCTTCCAAGTTGAGGCTGAGGATCATAGTGGCAGGGAGAGAGCTGAGGCTGTGATTGGAGCTCACTCAAGTGGGACATGCCTGTCTTCAGCCAGCTTTAGTGCAGACATGACAAAGCAGGCAGACCCCAAAGCCTGGGCCAACAGGTAAGCATGAACGAAATTGGTTCTGCCATGCTGTGGGAAACCCATCTTGAAGGCAGCCTAGAAGGCTGTCTGGGCCTGCCTTGGAGGGGGTCTCAGAGGTGAACAAGGGAGTCTTCTTCAATTCTGAAGGGGCCAAATGTGAGATGGCCCAAGGACCTGCTGTGGAGGGCTGACCTCCAGGGCCCTCCCTTCTCTGCCCAACATTTGCTGGCTCTGAGTCTGCCTTTTTCCAACAGAACCGAGTTCCTGTCATAAAATTCTTGGCCTACTTGAGTTTCTGGATTCTAACATCTTTCTTTTTTTCCACAGTGATGATAACTCAAGTCTCTCTTATAAATATCTAACAGGCAGAAAATGCTTTCCCTTCAGGAGGGCACACAAAGACTAACACCAACGAGAGCTTATTATAGTACAGCCACTTCTCTGGTTGGCAAGAGGTATGGCTGTGACCTGGAGCTGATTATGTTTATTTAAATTTTAAAAAATTTTATTTTTAGAGAGAGGGAGTGTGGTAAAAGAAGAGAGAGACAGAGAGAGACAGAGAGAGAGACAGAGAGAGAGAATCCCAAGCTCAGCACAGAGCCTGATGCAGGACTCAATTCTACAACCCTGGGATCATGACCTAAGCCAAATTCAAGAGTTGGATGCTCAACCCACTGAGCTACCCAAGCATCCCTGATTTTGCTTATTTAAAAGGAAAGGCAATTGTTTGGTCATTCAACAAACATTTGGTGAGCACATAGAGCTGCGGGGCTTCTGCTGGGCATGGAAGATATTAAGTCAAACCTAACTCTGAAGGGGCCAGGAGGGGAGGTGGTAGATGTAGGAAAATCATGATCCATACATCCATGCATTGTCAGCAATTGGTTTACACAAGCTGCTACATGGTTAACCAGGTGAAGAAAAGAAGGACAAAAAGCCTTCAAAGCAGAAAGTAGAGCATGTGTAAGAAGCCCAGTGTCAGGGAAGAATGGACCATCCTCCTGGGTGGAGGGGGCATGAGAGGTGCTGGGGAGTGAGGGGCAGCATGTGACCTGGTGAGCTGAGCAGGGTAAGATCTGGTAGGGTGCTGTCTACTGAGCTAGGGAGTTTGGACTTTACCCTACAAGTGAGGAGGAGCCATTACTGGGTTTTAAGGAAGGGAGAGTCATGACCACCTCTGTACTCACTCCTCTATGAAACGATACGATGTCTAAGATTTGTATCCAAATAAACTCGGGGCAAAATATAAAAAGCAATTAATTTCAGGACTATTTGTAATGGGAAACAGCCCACATGTCTATCAGCAGGCTGGTTGAATAAATTTTGGCATTCCCATGTGCAGAAGTACTAGGCAGCTGTAAAAAGGAATGAGGAATATCTCCACCTAAGACATACTATTGAGTAAAAAAGACATGTGTGTATAATATTTGTTTAAGAAAGGCAGGGATACAAATATATAAACATATAAACCTATCTGCTTATATTTAAAACAGACAAGCATTGGAGAGATAAACCAGTGAAAAATGGTTACTTATACGGAGAAGGAGGGTATAGACTGGAGGGGATGGGGATAGAAGCTGAACTTATTTGGGGGTGCCTGAGTAGCTCAGTTGGTTAAGCGTCTGACTCTTGATTTTGGCTCAGGTCATGATCTCTTGGTTTGTGAGTTTGAGCCCCACATCAGGCTCCACACTGAGAGTGTGGAGCCTGCTTGGGATTCTCTCTCTCTCTCTCTCTCTCTCTCTCTCTCTCTCTCGAATAAAAAAATAAACTTAAAAACAAAGAAGCTGAACTTCTTTGAATGTACATTGTTTTGTATATTAACTTTGGGACCAAGTAAAGATTTCATGCAAGTAAAAAACAAAATCAAATAAAAAAGGAATCCCTGGGGGGGCGGTGCCTGGGTGGCTCAATCAGTTGAGCCACTGACTTGATTTTGGCTCAGGTCATGTTCTCATGGTTTGTGAGTTTGAGCCCTGTGTCAGGCTCTGGGATTCCCTCTCACCCTCTCTCTCTGCCTCTCCCTCCGTCTCTCGCCCTCAAAACAAACAAACAAACAAACAAACAAACAAACAAACATTTTTAAAGAAGGAATCCCTGAAAATAAAAAATGAAATGAAACAAATAAAGAGAAGTATGCTTGCTGTTGGTGGAATAAGCACACGGGGAAACTGTTCCAAACACAGTAATTTGACTATATATCTACAGAAAGAAATAAGCTAAGAACAAAGAGAATTGTAAACAAATGATCTTAAGCCATTTTCAGCAATCATTTGGCTGATGGGAGAATTGATATTGATATTCAGAGACTGTCGTGTGTACATATGAGATGAAACAAATGAGAAACTATGTGAAATTCTAATTCTATAATTCTTGATGTCTTTGAGAAATGAGATTTTTAGCATGGAAGAAAGGAGACTCAGGTGGAAGAAATAAGAGATTATGCAAAAACACTACCCTTGAATTTGAATTGACAGTATCATTATGAATGTATGTGTTTTATCTTTAAAACTAACAAAAGACATATTTCCTTGTTCTGATCTCTGAAAGGATCTAGGACCAATAACCTATCCAGTAGCAGTGAGCACCCCCAGTGCCCAGGTTGTGGTCTTGAAATCCCCCTTTCTGATAAAAGGATAGGCTCCATGAAAAAATGGTTGATTCCAGGTCTGGGACAGGAAATGGACAAGAGGAGCCTGGAACATCAATCAAACCAGATGACAAGGAAGTCCTCAAAGACTGCTAGGACAGGGTTAAAAGGATTTAGGAGTCAACTTGAAAAGGCTCCCTCTGGACAAAGAAGGACAATTTTGGCATCAATATAGGTAAAACTGCAATGGAGTGAAGCACATCAAGTTTAACTCCATGAGTTCATAATGAAATTAAAACAAATCTGATCGGTTGCCTTTGGAGCATGCTCATGAATAAATTCATTATTTTGAAATTTATAAAGACAAGTAATTTGAGCATTTATCTGTCTTTCCAGTACAAATTGTACTACTGGGGAACCCAACAGTGATGAGGGGAAGTTTCTCTTTATAGAAGTAATTCCCTTTATAAATGAAGAGGGAATGATAGAATTGGAATATCACCATTTGGCAACCCCTATTAATTAATGAATGGTGGCACTGATTAGCGGTATCTGCTATCACAAATAGAGACAACCAGGGTGCCTGGGTGGTCGGGTGGTTAAGTGTCTAACTCTTGATTTCGGCTCAGGTCATGATCTCATGGTTCTTGAGTTTGAGCTCCATGTCAGGCTCTGCACTAACAGTGCAGAGACTGCTTGAGAGTCTCTCTTTCTCAGCCCCTCCCCTGCTCATGCTCTCTCTCTCTCTCTCTCTCAAAATAAAATAAATAAACTTTAAACAAAACAAAACAAATAGAGACAACCAGACATCACAAGCCTTCTAGGAAGTATTCTTGTCAAGATTTTCAGCCTAAATCTATATTCAAATGGCAATTTACAGGAATTATAAGGGACAAAAGAAAATATAAAAGGATACCATGGGCATGGAATTTGTAAAATCTCCATCATGGGATACTCTATAGGATAAATGATCTCATTTCTTAAATAACTTGCAAGAAAAAAAAAGAGACAAGAGATATAAAACTGATATTTAAAAGAAATTTAAGAGACATATCACCAATCACAACTTATTTGAATCAAGATTCAAACAAACTAAAAAAACAAGACATTTGTGACATTTAAAAGACTCTTAGAGGGGCGCCTGGGTAGCTCAGTTGGTTAAGCATCCAACTTCGGCTCAGGTCATGATCTCACAGTTCGTGGGCTCGAGCCCTGCATGGGCTCTGTGCTGACAGCTTGGAGCCTGGAGCCTGCTTCAGATTCTGTGTCTCCCTCTCCCTCTGCCCCTCCCCCACTCACACTCTGTCTCCCTCTGTCTCAAAAATAAATAAACATTAAAAAAATAATAAAAATAAATAAATAAAAGGCTATTAGAAATTTGGGGCACCTGGCTGCCTCAGTCAGTGGAGCATGCGACTGTTGATCTTGGGGTTGGGAGTTTGAGCCCCACATTGGGTGTAGAGATGACGTAAAAATAAAATTTTTAAAAATTAATACAAAAAATTTTAAATGTGAACATGGCTGGATATTTGACAACATTAAAATTATTTTTAATTGTTTTTTAAATATTTTATTAATTTTTGAGAGAGAGAGAGAGAGAGAGAGAGAGAGAGACAGAGCAAGAGCAGGAGAGGGCTAGAGAGAGATGGAGACAGAATACGAAGCAGGCTCCAGGCTCGGAGCTGTCAGCACAGAGCCCAACATGGGGCTCGAACCCACAAGCCGTGAGATCATGACCTGAGCTGAAGTCGGAGGCTTAACCAACTGAGCCACGCCGGCATCCCTATTGTTTATTGTTTTTAAGTGTGAGGTGGTTATGGGTTTTTTCCCAAGAGTCCTTATCTTTGAGAAATATATACAAAAATATTTACATATGAAATGACATAATATCTGGGATTTGCTTCAAAATAATAGCAGAGGGGGAGGACGTGAATGGGGATAGAGATTACATAAATTTGACTGTAAATTGATAATTGCTGCAAGTGGGTGTTAGGGACATGGGAGTTCATTTTTCTGTTCTACCTTCTATCTTACTTTTGGATATGTTTGAGATTTTCCACAATAAAATGTTTAAAAATATAAACATAAAGCAATGAGAAGAAAAGAAAGATCCCTGTAGTGGCCGTGTGGAAGATGGGCTGGAAGGGGTGTTTAGAGGCATTTTTTTCCTCTACTCTCTTCTCAAGTTCCTTTTGCATCTCCTTCCCTGCCTCATAGAACAAGAGAACAGATGTTTGTGTCTCAAACTCACAAGACAACATAGGGTCAGGCCTTTCCCCAAATTTGCAGGGCCCAAGCTAAGAGTATAAATGGAGGCAACATGCCATGGGATGTCTAAATCATAGAAGTTATAAATCAGACTAACAATTACTAAGTAAAATTTGTTTTATCCTCTTACCTTGACAAATATACTTTCACACAGACCTGG